GGGAATGATGAGGGCAACAAATGTATAGATGTGCTTTACACAATTGATCTATGTATTGTGATGAATTGTATGAGCCCCAATAAATTGATTAATTAAAAAAAAAAGAAGATGGAAAGAATAAACAGTCGCTGTACCAGAAAGAACGAGTAGACATTCAACTATTTCAGGAGTTAAGATATGTTCAAGAGCCAATGATACAGATGGAAGAAGTCGAAGTTGTACTGAAAGCATAAGTCAAAAACAAGGCTCCAAGAATTGATGGAATACCAATTGGCGTATCAATGTGGCGGTGAAGCTCTGGAAGCACTCACTGGTCTATGCCAAGAAATTTGGAAGACAGCTACTTGGCCAACAGACTGGTAGAGATCCACATTTACACCCATTCCAAAGAAAGGTGACTGAACAGAACATGTAAATTATAGAGCAATATCATTGATATTATATGCAAGTAAAATGTTGCTGAAGATCATCCAACAGCAGTTGCAGCAGGACTTTGACAAGGAGCTGCCAGAGGTTCAGAGTGCACAGAAGGGAGAGAAAATTGATGTCGGAATTGGTCAAAAGAGCTGGAGGGTGGGGCATGTATGATTTTAATCTCATAGGAATTGGCCTTGGGCTGCTGATCTTCATAGTGGCTCTCAATCGTCCTTCTTTGCAATTCTTATCATAAAACTAAATAATATTTTTTGTAGAAATGCTCCAGTTATGTACTTCATACTCTAAAAGGGGCTTTTTGTGTGTGAGTGATCTAACTTGAGATTGTGAATACTTGAGATGCATGTAGACTTTCCCTTCATTCTTTAGACTCAAAAAATATACAACACTGAAATAAAGAGCTGTGGAAATGCATATCACATTTAGCAACATTTATGGAAAGAGCAAAAAATTTCTAGGTACTATTGATGCTTAAATATGTCCTTTCTGAAAGTGCCTTCCTACTCTGTTGGTCTGAGTTCATGGTCTAAACATAGCTGGATTCTTATTTTCCAGCATAAAATACTATTCCCATGACTAATGCTACAAGACATTATTAATAAACTTCCTAGAAGCTGAGGTCCAGATGTGCAACTGAGGCTGAGACTCCATCTCTGAGTAACGGGGAACCCTGTGAAGACTGATCTATGCAGATGGGGTATAGGACAAGGAGGACAACGATGTCTCTATACATACACAGATCGACTGGGTACATTTGGTTTCAGTTTCACAGTTTAAAGAGTGTAGAAGGAGGAACTACTTTAACTATTGATCTTGATTATTTCTGTGACTTACCTGGTAAAACTTGATCTCATGAGGCAAGAAGATGTTTATTTCCTGAGGATCTCTTAGGGTGTCAACAGCTAGGACCCCAAAGATCCTCATGTGTGCATCCTGAAGAGGCAGGGCCAAGAAGGACCCATGATAATCATTCTTGTGGCGAGTGTGGTTCCAGAAGAAGATGTTCCCATGGTGCTGAACTTGAGGGACATGGACGGGCTTCCCTTCATCTATAACTGTGAAGCTGAGGAGCGTGAATACCAGAATGAGAGAAAGGGAGAGAGGAAGGCTTTAATGTAAATTGCAGAAAACTAGATCAATTCTCTGTTCGCAAACATTGACATTATAAGAGAAGTGGGCTCAAATAAAATGACCACTTTGTAGTCTCTGATCTGGGAGAAATATTTCAGAACCAAACTTAGAGCTTAACTGAAAAACAAACCAACAGAAAACAGTGACAGACAACATTTACAGAGCAGGCAGATACCATGGCACTCGTATTGTGAAGCAGAGCCCCCACATGACAATTCATTGACTAAGAGAGAGAGCTCTAGAAATGATCGGATGAAATCATCCAGACGGGAAGTGCTTCAGTTCCCACTCTACAAACACGGATGGGTTGAGACAAATATCTACTGAGCAGCTAAATTAGGATTTCAGGAAGGGAACCATTATTTTAGAGGGGTGAAACCAACTTCTTCAAGAAGTTCTCACCTAATTCCTTTCATGTCCCTGTAGAGTACTTTATTCAGAACAAATGGAGCATCGTCTATGGTACAGGCCACATTCCTTAGCAGAACATTGCCTCTATCAGGCAGCAGTTCATTTTCTTCTAAGAGAGCAATGTGAGCACTAATCTTCTTATTTCCATGGGCTTCAGCATCCTACGGCAAAATGTTTCTATCAGCCAACAGCCAAAGATCTAGTCCCTGAATCATGTCCCCTTTGTTACTCAATTTGTGCACTGGGTCCCAGGAACTTCATTTTACTGAATACATTATGCAAATAGTATCCTTCATAGACAGTGGTTAAAAAAGAGGCTGACACCACAGATGGCCCCCAAATAGACTCTGTGATGACTAAAATGGATCTGTGCTATGCCAACTAGACAGGTTTATTAATACATATACAAATGTAGATATCAAGTCTACCCAAATTTAAAGAGTTAGAATATGGGTCATTTGAGCTATCATCATAATGGTTGAACTTCAGGTAAAAGTATTTACAAGTATTTTGGAGAGCCCAGGCAAGAAGACGACTTCATTTTACTTATATTTCTTGACCATCTTTGGGGATGTGAATAGAAAATCATCTCAAGGGATTTTGATGGAGGTGAGCAGCTGCATTCAACTGGTTCTTACTGAAATAACTGAAAATCTCTGCAACTAAAATATGAAGCGATTAATACACATATTGAACATGCCCCTAAGTTAGGGACAAGAGAGGAATGTTCCTGGATAATTGCTTCCTCTTTCTAGATATTTTTGGGGGGTTGCTTTTCATGTCTTTTTTTCTTTCTGCCTTTATTTCTCCTTTTCCACATAAAAATCTGTGTCTTAAGATTTCTCTTAGAGTATCGCGCATTTTAAAAATGCTAGTTGGAGTAATACTTCCTTTTTACGATTGGTTTTCTATTTCTGGTCGTTGGAAACCTCAGCCATTCAGGTGGTGATCCAACAAGCAAGTGCCATTATTAAGCTGAGATAAATTGCACAGACTCCCTGGATCAGTGGAATTGGACATACATAGAGGATGACAGCTTTTGACTGGGAGTAACTGTAAGCTGAGTGCCTCTGAAGGAAGGGGTGGTGAGATTGTGTGTGAGGGGTGGCCCACCAGAGCCATGTGCTTTAAGTGACAGGATTCTGTTGATCGTCTCAATTTGTTTCTGCGAAATGCTGTGTAATGTTGGATTCTTCTTTGACATGACTTTGGATTTAAATATAATTCATTTTCAAATTGACCCTCCAAACACCATGCAGAGGAAAAGTAGTCTCAACTGTGTGCACATCTCCTTATGGGGTATTTTTCTATACCAGTCTGTGGTCTATTCCAAGTTGGTTCGACTTTTCAGCATAAATAAAACTAGAAGTGTCATGACATAACTCTTGTTTTTTCCTGCTTTCCATCTTCTGCTTTTACCCTGTCCATTTCTGTTGGATCTCTCTCAGGGTTTGGGGCATTGTCATGTATTGGAATGAAGAAAACATCTATAGCAGTATGTGGCCATTATCAGGATGATTTACAATGTGCTTTACCATTGCCACTATTGAAGAGTACCCATGGTGAGGGAACATGTTCTTTACACATCATTTTTGAAAGCATACCTGATTGAGGGCCTTAAAAGTCTCACTGTACACTGGTTCCACAGATACCCCACTGGTCTGTGCAGCACGTTGGATTTGATGAAGCCACTTTCGCCTGGCAGAATTCCTCAGATTTTCCTTGTGGCTCCTCTCCAAAGCATTCATCAGAAACTCCACAACGCTTTCCATAACCTCATTTTCATTGCCTCTGAGCTCAGAGACAACCAACTCAATATAGTTCTGAAACTGTTTTGAGGACAATCTCACTTCCTGACCGGGATGTGCCTTTGGAAATTGGATATGCAGTTTAGCTAAGAGACATAAACACAAAAGCAAGAGCTAACAAAAAATTCATTAGTTGGGGGTGGGGGTGAGTGAGGGTGGAGCAGGGGTGGGGGTAGGGGAAAAGGCATTTTCATTGTCTTCTTAGAACAAACAGAAACTCCTGACAGTTGATTCCATGGTCAAACAAGTATTATATCAAAAGCATCTTTGAGCATGATCAAAAATTTTACAGTGATTCTTATGTTGAACTCAACATGACTCCTATGTTATCCTTTCAGGTGGTGTACTAGTTACGTGTTGGGCTGTGAACATGGTCGGCAGTTCAAAACCGTCAGCAGTTCCCTGGGAGAAAGACTGAGCTTCCTACTTGCATAAACAGTTAGTCTCAGAAACCCACAGGAGGCACTATGAGTCAGCATGGCCTCAATGGCAGTGAGTTTACTCAGCCAGCTGAAACACCAGGGTTGACTTTGACTCCTGCCTATTCTTTACTGTCCATATCTAGACCATTAAACCCTATCTGTTATTCTTTGGCAATGAATGTTGTGGTCCCCTGTCATCATTGCTAATTCCACACCCCAAAGCAGCTTTCATTATTTTATCATTGGATTATCACTACCAAATACAGGTCAAGTTAAATTTTTAAAATGCTAGGGGATAAAGATTGACCTTTATTCAAAGTCATTTGGTCTTTGTTCTTGGTTCTTGAGAGAGTTCTACAGTTTTGGAGTTTCCTGAGTACTTGAGGTATCTTTTTAATCTATAGGGAGCCCTGGTGATGTAATGGTTATGTGTTGTCTGCCATGTTCTAAATCTCCAGCCGCTTCATTGGAGAAAGACTGGGCTTTCCACTCCTCTAAACAGGGACAGTCTCGGAAACCCACAGGAGGTCTCTATGAGTTGGCATCAACTCAATGGCAGTGAGTTTTTGTTGTTGTTGTTGTTGTTGTTGTCTATAAGACTCCAGATCGAACTTGACAGATTATGAAGGCGAGGACACTCTTGAATGGGAATTGTTAAGGTCAGAAGGACCCACTACCTCATACGACCACCTCATAATAACATAACGAAAATCTTCAATAAAAGCTCTGGACATTGAGTCTTAGACTTCTACTCGGTGAAAGACATAAATGTCTGGGTGGCCCTGTGTCAGAGACCCTCCTAGACCGTACTCCGCACTGCTTCATTTGTATCCTTACAGCATTTTCTGCGAGCTTTGTGAGTTATTCTAGCCAATGAGCAAACTGCAAGGAATGGTAAAAGCCGGTAGGTTAGAAGTCAGGGAGCCCAGAGTGTTCCTGAGCTTGTGGTTGGACTCTCATAGGGGTCAAGAAAAAGCTCCACATTTGTACTTAGTAATTTAATGATATATGAGGTACGGAGAATTTTCAGTTAAAGTAATTAGAAATAGTTGCATAAAGTCTGCAATCTGAGATCCCAAGAGATTCTTTCCTGAAATGGCATAGATTGAATTTCAATGCTAAGAACTCTTTAAGAGCACTTCCCCGACGCTCACATCACGTTTTTTAAAATGAGAAAATGTTGTAGAGGTAAGGGAAGTGGAAGAATAGTCATCTTGAACAAACTTCCAATGGCCAAATTTCAGACAACTGGAGCACCAAAATAAATTAAGACTGAGTTAGTTACAGTTCATTGTGCCAACCTGGCCAATAAATCCATGTGGGGTCAATTGAAGGGGTGAGAGATAAATGACTCGGTGAGCCTCACCTTTCTAGTTCTCGGTCTCTTGCTTACTGATGGTCAACCAGGGTGCAGCTGCCTTAGCCAGTTCCCTGTTTCAGCTGGCAAGGCTCACTTCCTGCAAGACATCCCTGAGGAGAAGCCACATGGACCTACCCGATGCAGCCCTGGGTGCTGGA